AAGAGGACTAATGTAAGATCATTAGCAGCTGCCATTGGTAAGCCTAAATCAACTGTTCATGAGTGGATTAAAAGAGGTCTGCTTAGGAGCCATTCTAATGCTATAAAACCATACCTCACAGATGCCAATAAAATTTCAAGGCTCAGGTTCTGTTTAGATCAGGTAGAACCCTACAGCATGCCAATCCACCCTAGGTTTAAGAGTTTTCACAATGTTTTGCACATTGATGAGAAGTGGTTCTTTATGTCTAAAACATCTCAGAAATTTTATCTCCTTCCTGATGAAGCAGACACATACAGGGCATGTAAATCAAAAAGGTTCATAGCTAAAGTGATGTTTCTGTGTGTGGTTGGGAGACCACTATTTGGGGATAATGGAGAAGTGTTATGGGATGGCAAAGTTGGCATATTTCATTTCACAGAAAAATGCAAAGCCAAAAGGAAGAGCAAGAACAGACCCAAAGGGGTGTTAGAGGTGAAACCAATAACTAGTGTTACCAAACAAGTCACAAAAGATATGCTCATCAATAAAGTGATACCAGCAATCCAAGAAAAATGGCCCTCACATTTATCTAAAGACATACACATTCAGTAAGATAATGCAAGGCCACACATTCAAGGAGTGGATTCAGACTTTATGGGAGCAGGTAACACAAATGGGTTTCAAATAACTCTACACAACCAACCCCCTAACTCCCCAGACTTGAATGTCTTGGATCTTGGATTTTTCAGAGCCATCCAGTCTTTAAAAGATCAGTGTGCTCCAAGTACTGTGGCAGAGTTATTAGAGGCAGTGGAAGGAGCATATGATGCTCTAAGTCCACAAACCCTAAACAAGGTTTGGTTGTCTTACCAACAGGTTTTGACTAAAGTAATGGAAAATGAAGGAGGCAACAACTACAAATTGCCACACATGGGGAAAGACAGACTAGCCAGGGCAGGGAATCTTCCCAACTGCTTGGACATTGAGCTAGCCTTAATTGAGAAGACAGCAAGACTGCTTGGTGAACAGAATGCTAACACAAATGAAGAGATGGTTGAGTTCAACACTGAAGATGGAGATGACTACCTTTCTTCATAGTTGAACTGAACACAACCTTCTAATTCCTGATTTTTTTTTGTTTTGGGTTGTGGTTACCACTGAACTGAACCCAGCTTTTTTGGTTTTTGGTTTTTGTAAGTGGTGGCCAGTGAGGGGTTTTTTGGGTTTTGGGTTTTGGGACTTTGTACTCACATCAAGGCAACTACACCACATTGGCTCTATATGTAACCATGTAAAACAACAGCCAACATAAGGCATTTAAATTATTATTCCCATGTCATCATTGCTGAGTTTTTAAACTACATATGCACAGCCCACAATAAGTACACAATGACCAGAAGCACACACAAGACCACAAAGGTGTAACACCTTCACTACTCAGAGACACCA